AACTATCTTGTGTTTTATCTGTTGTGGGATCTGCAAGTCTCAACCCTAGTTTCGATAGCAACTATCTATGAGGAATGCAATCGCGAATATGAGCACAGGCAATGACTCACTCGAAAGAGTTTTAGCGATTGATTATCAAGTATTGCTCTTATCGATTACAATCATTCTTTTCGGCTGAGTTCTTTGGAGGCTATCGAAGAGTTGGCAGATCAAGCTTCCGAGGTATGTCGTCTCTTTCTTGATGAGCAGACACTCATTATCAACTGACTTAATCCAAGTTCATAGTTATGAACGTTATTCGCACTTGTTCTGCCTCACTATGAATCATTATTGAAAATTCAAAGTCAACGATTTCATCAAAGAACTCTGATTCAGAGCATTTATCCATTTTGATCTCATAGTAAGTCAGTTCTGCATGAAACAAGTAACATGGTGTTGATTTAGACGAAACAGAGGAGTAATGGGTTCTAAGATATCTTATTTAGCAGAGAAACGAGGATTCGAAGAAAGAGAAGAGCATCTATCCGAATTCAACCTTCTCCCTCGAGAAATCAAAGAAATGATTCTGGGGAGAGTAGCAGAAGACACAGCGAACTTTTTTGATTTCAAAGTGCTCACAAACAGAATATTGAAGATGAAAGGTGATTGTTTCAGAACTTTTGGAGATTGAGACTCGTCAACAAGGAGTTCTACTCCATCTTGAATAGCAAACATGTTAGACGTTTTTCTGTCAAGTGCCCTTGTTGGATATTGTTTCGACAACACCATATTGAGAATGTAGCTAGCATGGTGGTCCGCTTTCCGATTGATTTCACGAGGAAATACCGTAACTTTGAAATTGTGTTGGATGATTCTTACGCTTCATACTCACAGTTTGAGAAGAAAGAACTCGAAATGGACTGGAAAGATGTTCCAGGATACTTCAGGTGACTCTCTCATCGAATCCTCTATTCTATTACCGTTTTCAGAGAACGACCGTTTCGAATAGATCTCGTGGTCATTGAACCTTATATATCAACTGCTCATATGATACCGGCTCTAAGAGAGTTAGCGAATCAAACTTCCGAGGTATGTCATTCTATTCTTGATCTCAGTCACTGCTCTACAACAGACACTCCAAGTGAAAATCATGTTCCTTCATCTCGATCAGGTCGAACAACTCAATCTGCGTTCATATGCCCATGCCTATCATTTTGGTTTCTATAGAGAAGAATTTCTTCAGAATGTTCTAAATGAACTGAAAGATATTGTTAAAGCTGGGAAAATCAATATAGGATTCGATAGCGAATATTAGTGGTATTCAAATGAAAGATAGGAGTTTAGAAGAGTTCATGTATGAGCCATTCGATATTGTATTCATTGGATCAATAAACATCATTTCCTTCTTTTCCGGAGATTAGGAGGATCTACAGAACATTCGAACAATTAGGTAAAAATTGTCAGGGCTACACGTAATCTTGAAAAGCCCGATGAGTTCAAGGCAGCTGGGAGGACGGATCGTAAGAAACCTAAGCAGGAAGTCGAGGCCCAGGGATTTGATTGTTTTAGGTTTTTACATTTTTTCCGAGAGACCAGTACTTTGGTACACAGTATTGCTCTAGTCTCACAGTTACAATTTCTGAGAGAGTTAAGTGCCGAATGTTTTGAATCGTGTCAGATAAGATACGAGCTCAAACTGTCTAGCCATTATGATTGATTAGCCTAATTATCAAACCTGAAATTTGTAGTAGATCATGTATTAACCAAAGATATCAACTTCAAAAACAAGTAAATGAGTAGTAACAGTTTAAATCAGCTGCAACCAAACAAACCATATACGACAAGACGACATTGTTTAATTTTTGATAAGTTATCTAAAAGATATAAGGCCCCTTTACCACCTGAATATCTGTAACTGACACTCTGGCAAGATAGAACACCTAGACCGGTATCCCCATCGTCCTTATATTATGAACCATTATAGGATCACCATACGAACTGACTAGGGTTTGAACCTCTGACCATCTTTCCGATAGATAGCATCTACGCACTTTACCACAATACGCAGTTATGGATTAACCTTTGACAATTAAGTCTGGATCAACTATTTGGAGTAATAATTCAGTTGAGGTGGGTTTACTTCATTCATGGGGTTGTTCAATACACCTGTTCTATGAGGAAGAAGTTTGATTTGTATTCTATTTGATTAATAATGAAATTAGGGGAATATATAAGCAGATTCAATCACGTCATACGTTAGCTAACTTCTACAAATGATGTCATTACTTCAATAGTAATTGGAACGATTGGTAGATGTGAACAGACAGATATGTGCTTCTCTCTCCGATGTTCGTAAAGATTTTCTAACTCTTTGAACTGTATGTAACACCTAGAGCTTTCATGGGAGGGCGAAATCATGAAAACAATATGCAAATAATATAGGGAAAGGTGAGCATTGCCTCCATTACATTTTTGATTCAATTTTCACTTTCTTGTTTAAATCTTCTGTAAATCCTCCTTTTCAACGAAAAAGAAGGAAACGATGTTTATCGATACAATAACGAATGGCTCATACATGGACTCTTCTAAACTCATCTTTTCCGTATAAATATCAGCAACGTCGATAGTCGAAACGGATTTTGCTAGCGTGAACAGCACCTATCAGCTCGTTCAAAATTACCTCCTTATGTGTTTCTGGCGTATACGGACCGACCAAATAGAGGGACAAGAAGTTCAAATCAAAGCTCTGTTGATTATCAGTGACTGAGATCAAGAAAGAAATGACATACTTCGGAAGCTTGATTTGCCAATTCTCTGATGGCGTGGGTTATAAGCGAAGCTGGTCTACCACAGTAACGAGTAACTTCTACAGAATTTATTCTAAACGGTTTCCCTCTAAAATCAAAAATAGAAAAGAGGATTCGATGAGAGTGTCACCTGAAGTACCCTGGGACATCTTCCCATTTGATATTGGATAATCTTGAGACTGTTTTACCCGCTACTTCTTCTGCTGCTTCTTCCGCTACTTCCTCTGGTACTTCGTCCAACCAGGAAAATGATGCACATGACGCATCATCCCTGAGTTCAATGAGAAATCGGATCTCCATAAAAGCTAATCCTCCTAGGTAGTCTTCGACAAGCTGAATCGTACATGGTCTTTTTGGGAAGTGACGATGAGCATAGTCACTACTGAAGATGGAATTAAACTCCTTGTTAACGAGTCTCAGTCTCCAGAACTTCTGAAACAATCAACTTTCATCTTCAATACTTTGTTTGTGAGAACCTTAAAGTCATCGAAGCCCGCTGTCTCATCTATTACTCTTTCGAGAATCATTTCTTTGATTTCACGAGGAAGAAGCTCGAATGGAGATAAATCATGTTCACACTGGAATCGGTCATCTTCTTCGAATAAATCATTTTCTTCTTCTTCAGTTCTTCTTTTCTTTTTAAATTTAGCTATAATAGCCCCCATCACTTGTCAGCTTCACCTGAATGAAAAGGAAGTGAAGTGGTTAGAACAACTGACTTACTACAAGGGAATACGGGATACTCTGAATGCGAACAGCTCACCTGAAGTATCAGCTTTGATCAGTTTCATGACAATTAGAATTGTTCGATAGTTTTTTTTTTGTCAAACTGGCCATATGATTCTCAACTGAGTATCAAACGAAGCAGCTAACTGATTATGAAAGTAATGAAGTCATAGTTTCAACAGACGAACTATGTAGTACATGGTTTTCAGAAACTGTCAGTTTTATCATACGAGAAGATGATTCATAACGTTTTATGAGTAAATGGCTCGTGTCTAAAAACCAAAATGGAAATGAGGATTCGCCCAGTGATTTTGTGTTTCTCTTGAACAAAACTTAGTAACAAAAAGTGATTTTAAACTCATCTATTCAATCAAGATATCACTATATTGAGCAATCTGAGTATGGTTTTCCTAGCTTCAACAAAATCTTTCAGTTCTTTCCAAATTCCTTCCTCATCTTTTTCTTTTGCATACGAGCAACGAGTCCCATAAAAAGTAATTAAATTCAAATCAAAGCTCTGTTGATTATCAGTGACTGAGATCAAGAAAGGAATGACACACCTCTGGAGTTTGATTAGCGATTTCTCTGATGGCGGGTGTTATATGCGAAGGTGGTCTACCTTCATTTTTTTGTTTGATCATTCGTCATTTATAATTCTCTAGTTTTATTAATTATTCGAACTTCTTTTCGAAGTTGATCTGATTCTTAAAAGCATTGTTATTCTTAAACTATAGATATTCAATCAATTACTTTTCCAATTTCTAGAAGGAGTCACAACTTTCTTTTATATAGAAAATCTTTTCAAAAAAATAATTCAAATTTCAGATTTATGAATTTCGAACTAAAAAGTCGATATCTTTAAAGTTCATAATGAAATCAATCATATTTTGTATTTTCATTGTTGGATTTTCCTAGATTTTAAGATGTATTTTCTCAATCCGCTTCCAATCATTGCAATTGGCTCAACGCGAAGGTCAGCCAGAGTGAAAGGGTCATGAGAGTGACGCGCCTGAGAGCAGCGTCATAGTATACTAGCTTTTATAATGTAGATTTATTAAAATTAGTTCGATTTTAGCTATTTATTGTTTATTTTCAGACCGTTCTCTCCCTTTCTTTGGGAGTTTTGTCAGTTGTGAGTCCAAAATGGAAAGCGAGTTTAACAAGGTATTTGTTTCTGTTTTTCTTTTATTTCAAAAGGAAATATTCAGAGTTCTTCAACGACTAGCAGCAGTGATCACTACTCCGAACTTATGAAGGAAGCACTGCCAGGTTTCAAACATGACATGATGCTGACGGACATCAACAACACTTTTTTCAAGCAAGTGAGTTATTAATATTATTGTGGCAGTTTTATTATTTCTAATCCTCTGCTTTCAGATTAGTGATTGCACGGGTGTGGAACATTTAAGTGCCGCGTCATTTCCAAATCCAGCCTTTCCTGTGGAAGGTGTGATTTTCGGTCCTAATAATAGGCTGATGATCTGCCTTAACTGTCGTGAAGCAAATAAGCCCGAAGCTCCAATATGTAAAGTTTGGTTCCTCGTGGACAGTGGGTCAAATTGTACTTTTCTTGATGAGAAAACAATCAGCAAACTCACGAATTCTGACGCGATTCCATCTTCCATTGCAGTCTCCATACAGGTTCAATTTTACTTCATTCATTTTTCTGATTCACATTTCTCATTTCAGGATGAAAGTTCTGTCATTGAGTGCGATCTATCGCACAGCCATTTTAAGGAAGCTAACGTGTTGGGGATGAAGGCTATCCTGGAATTGGGAGTGACCATTGAAGGGATAAATGAAAAGAAAAAAAGTTGGCGTCTTGCGGAAGTATAATGGCTTTGAAGTGGTTTTCAATTGATGGAAAAAGTTGAAGCTTTTAGAGATATTTCACTTTTTTATTGTTATAAAACATGCTGTATACGTAATATGCATAACAAACCAATTGACCTATGCTGTTCAATTATGCAAAATCCCTTTTTTGTGTCATCATCCTCAATGTATGTTGTTGTTTAAAGTTTTATCTAGCTTCGCCATGTATTCAGCATTGGTTTTCATATTTATCTCTCATCTTTTTATCAGCGTTGGAACATGAAAATAAAAAAGTTGAAAATTAAATTGAAATCTCTTTTTAGTGCTCCAAAAATGGGCTGATTTCACACTCAAAAGAGTATTGTAAATCAATCGATTTTCTGTCATCAGTGAAAGAAAATATGTTGAAATGACTGATAACTTGTCAATGCTTTGAATGGAATTATTCCCTTGAAAATCAGATCTGAGTTCAATGTAGTCAAGCAATAAGATTTCAAATATATCCATTCATGTCGGTAAGAATCAGATCATGTGACAAACTATTATATAATTCAGTTGGGTAACAAGCTTAGAAGGAAGAATATGATAATGAGAGTTAGTCTAAGATAAACATCTGGAAGCTATAGAATAATCGAGAGGGAATTTCTCTTGAAAAAGCATGGGATGAAACAGCGCATGATTGAAAGATAACGAAGAAAAGGAAAAGCATATTAGATTCAGATTCATAAGTGCTCTGTTTAAGAGAACATCAACATAGTGAGATACGAGGAAGTACCTTTTCAATCTTATACTCTATGTTCTCCAGTAATAAGAGTTTTTTTTCCATTGCGTGTGAAGCACTGCCATATAAGTTGTCATATGCCAGAAACCTCTTTATCTGTAATTTAATAATGCAACTTCTCTTTGGAATAATCGAGCTGAATGATAATATGGAATTGCTCTAGAAGTAGTTCATTCATTTTTCTCAATTAGAGCACTCGGCCAGATTGACGCTTCTGAAAGCGGAAATGTAATACTCAACACAACTTCGATCACAATAATACTTTATCCTGTAATAGCTGTCGGGATATTTCAGAGAATGTCTTCTAGTCCATACTTACACCTTTCGTCTCTTCACATCTTCCTAACTATCACTCAGTTCATTATATAGCTTTGGGAGTCTTTTAATTTTCTCTTGTATGTTCTCTCTTTCTTTCTCAAAACGGGAATTCTTCAATCTGCCTCGTGGTGAAGAATGACAAATGCAAACCTAATGCATGAGCTCATCTTTTCAATCAAACTTGTTGTTCAAATGCAACGTGACAATCGGACTATGCTTGTTTGTCGCTATTATTCTAAGTTAACTGAATAGTGTTGATGATGTTGACTGTAAAAAGCTGAAATTCTTTTTCCATATGCAAATGAATAATGTCTCGCCGTTACTAGGCTCACCTATGCACATGCACACACAACATTTGGTTCTCCCTCTCATTAGCACTTAATGATTGTAAAAGTTATCTTTTATCTTTTGAAACAGTCGAAAAACAGTTTAACAGTTCAGTGAGATTTTCAGATAGACTAAACAGATTAATAGAAAGTATATACTAAGAGATCTTCGATCAACTCATTGCTTGCATGATAATCATAAGTCCATTAACAGTTGCTGGCTCAAGTAAAAAACGTCTCCAAATCTCCAAAATAATTTTATTGCCGTCAGCACACACAATTGCAAAAGCAACAGAGAGATATTAGACAAAACATTTCGCAACATTACTTTTCCTGACAATCATAACAGTCTCTCTGAGAGTATAGCAGCTTTCAACTGAACTGAACAACTTATAGTCTCAAAGCACTTCTTGCCCATCGTATCGTTTTTTTGGCATCGCAAAAGGAGATTCTATTTTGAACTGATTGAATGAACAAAAAGAAGAAAAAGATAATGAAATTATCACACACATTGAGTTTATGCAAATCAAAAAAATCTTAGAATGAGAAGAACAGGAAGAAGAAAAAAAAAAGAGGAGGAAAAAATTATTTTTTTCACCTCGGTCCGAGCGTTTAGTTTCGAATGTCGAACGCCTATTACCGTTCTCCTCAAAGTGTGGTGCATGTGCTCTTGCTACCCCAATTGTACTTTCATCCTCTTTAATCACTTTCATTGTTTCATATCCTATCTTGTACCAGCATTAAGATTTATCATAAATATTTTGTGCCTTTCTTCAAATCAAACTGTAATGCGTTGAAAACGTGTTTTCCAGCTATTATCCATTCAACTCAGCTGAATGAGAGAATACGTGAGCAGCTTTCCTCATTCAGAACGAATGACTCTTATTCTTTTAATCTTACAATAATCAATATCATGTTGTTAATGTAATTATGCAAATTTTTTATGACGGAAGGTGTGGCAGTTTAATGAAATCTTTCTAATCGCCAGTCGAAATTAAATTTTCGAACCAAGTCTGGCGTTTTGTGTCTCGAAATTTTGAACAAAAGCCATTCACTATGACTGTTGTTGTTCTTTTTTTTTTCAATTTTCTTCTGTTCACCAAATTGACACGTTTTTCTATATTTCTTATCTATTTGTATACAACTATATGTTTGCATAGTTAATGTCCATTAGAATAGAATATCTCCTTTGCTTTGAAGTGACGCAACTTCAAGATAGCTAAGCTGGAATGGACGAAGTGACTGCCTGTTTCAACCGTACACGCTTAAAGAATGAGAATGTTCGTCCTATCGTAGCTTCCTTCATCTTCATATCATCACTCATATCAACAATTCTCAATATATTTCTGTTGTCCATAGTTATAAAGTTTTGGAATACCAATTTTAGAAAACAGGTAAGAGAAACATATATACATTTCTCAATAAATAATAAACCGTTTACAGCCATTTTGCTATTTTGTTATAATCATGACCATTCCTGGAGGCATATATGCAGCAACGAATCTGATCGTTTCAGGACCATGTAGCATTTCTGATTGTTCTTTCATTAGGTAATTTGAGTATGCTTCACTTGATGCTTAAGATAGCCAACAACACAACAAAAAAAAACTGCCAACCATCATGACTTTTCAACATTTTCGATCCTCTAGAGTGCGTTAACTAAGAATCCTATTGGAAAAAACAATTCCAATATTTCATTCTTTGGCCTGATAGAGTTTAAATTTTGAACAATTTCTCTTTCGACAAGCATTTCTTTGACTTCCTGATTCGTCTGAAGTTTCCAATTTTATAAAAATTTATTCAATTTAACACGAGCGCAGGTGATTTATGTCAGAGAACTGACATCGGAATATCACAGTGAGAAATGTTGTTTATTTCAGCTCCGATTGGCTCATGATCGTTCTGGCCACCCCGAACACCTTAAGTCACTGGGGATATTTGTTAGCCGCATTTTCATTTTCCATCTACAGATTTTCCGTATTTTTATCGTCACGAAAAAGTAATTCCAAATACGTCATAATGGTAGAAGAATGAAATTAGAAGGATAATGGAATAATCTGTTTCAGACTTGTCTATTAAGTCCTTGGCTGTTATCAGCCTTTATCACGTTTACAACTACATTTACCGGATGTTATAAACGATTCAATCGTTATGCACTTCAGTACACTTATAACTGTTCTGAGTGCAGTATGTTCTGTAAGAGTTTACTTTCATTAAACCTCATTGACAATGCAAGTCTGGTATTTGAAAAAATTCAAAAAAAAAAATTTTTTTTTGCTGTCCTCTTTCTCTTACTCTCTATCTAACGAGACAATTCATTTGCCAGAAAAGCATTCAACTTTCATCAAACAATTGAAGGTTAAAGACTATTCCTATATAACTTTTTTGTTCTCAAAAACCAGCGTTCAAGGAGTTTCTTTATTCCCTAACCCGATCTAATTCCCATTGAACCGCTCATTTCAGATGGTCTTTTCACATTTCAAGATTTCAATTTCTGGGCTGGACAGATTCTGCCTGTAATCATGCTTTCCTTATACAGTTTCATAATCATCAGTATACAACAGAAACAACGAAGTCAAGCAATGTCTAGGGAATTACATTTGGTTTGTATTATATATTATTAATAATATATTCTTTAAATACCCTGAGGGCAAAGAGTGTTGGTCCCCCCCTTCTCCTGTTCTTGACTTCAGTCTATCCCTTAGTCTCGATTCTCTAGCACTTATTACGAGAGAAGCTGTTTATAAATTTATAATAATAATAGAATGCCGGAAGAAAAAAAAACTACAGGAAAAGCTTCTAAAATATGCCTTCTCGCATTCTCTTTCGTACAAAGGAGATATTGAATTTTTAAATTTAAAACACAAGTTCTTCAAAAAGAAAGGCTTTGACGCAATCTCAAATTCGTGATCTGACTGCTCCCCCCCTCCCTACTCCCTCTCCTTTCCTTCTCCTTCATATGAATGGAGAACTGAAAAAGAGTAAGGAACAAAACTAGCAGTATTAATTAAATTTTTTTCTCTTTAGTAACATTGTTTATTGTTCCTGGCCGTCTTTCTTAATTCAACAAACATTTCCTGGTCGAGTCTTATTAAAACACGTCGGTATGATGTGAACAGCTAAACATGCGCAAAAAAGAATTTGAAAAATTCATAAACTCCCTCGCAGCTGGCGTAGCCGAAAGTAGCATCATTCTTCGAAATAGAAAGATTGACTACAAAAGAAAGTCGTCGTCAACATAATTTTGAAAACGAAATAAAAGTAAAAATACATATCCTCCTACGTGTTGTTCATTTGTCTTCTCAATCGTATGCAACCGTTCTGCGCGCGCACACATTTCGAAAATGAACTGTTAGGTTACGTAGACCCCCGTCCCGAGCTCCTGAGATATTCATATCAGTTAATCAATAAGCTTGCGGAGCATCTGCTTGCGTTTCAAACGAAATTAAGTGAAAGAAATAATTTTGGTTGACAAAAACAAAAATATTATTATTTTTATTATTATTAATAAAACAAACCGACAATAATGGCCATTATTGCTCTTATCGAATGAAGAAAGAGAATTTCCCTTAATTTGATAAAGAGAGGAAGAGAGAGGAAGAGAGTAAGAGAGTAAGAGGGACAGAGAGAAGAAAAAAAAAGAATTTTATGGTTGGCAAATGCTAAATTCTAAGAATTTTAATAAATTTATTCAAAAAGGAGACAACCATTTTTCATGCATATTAAACATAAAAAAGAGAATTACTAAATAAGGTAATGTGGTACGGAATGAACATTAAATCATCTTCATAAAATATATTTTCTTCTTTTATACTTCTTATTAATTTTGCAATGAAAGAAGTAGGTTTCGCAAGATGATATGAAGAAGTCGAGATGGCTGTAGATGTCAGAGAGAGAGAGAGAGATGCTCATGAAACTGAAGATGATGATGATGTAATTGAGGAGATAAAAATAATTTTTTTTTCTCATTTCAGACGACACAATATTTTATTATTTGCCTTTTTCAATATTTATCATCATTCTTATTTTATATTATTCCAAAAATAGGTACTGGTAGCGCATGGGATATCATCGCAATGAACATCATAGGTATGCATAGCTAATGATAAGGATGATGCTCGTGACTGAAGCACCAAAAACCTTCTATCATTAGATTTTTAATTTGAAATATATATATACACATTCAAATATATAGTTATAAATATATATATTAAGGAGTTTTAAATGTTTCTGTAAATCCAATTGTTCTGTTTTGCTTTAATGGTCAAATACGCAATTCGGCTGCGAACATGATTGATACCAAGACTATGTTCTCTAAAACTAACCACAGTACGCGTATAGAAGCCAATCGTCCAACTCGTGTGCTTTCTATCAGGTCGACCGTTACAACCATAGCTGCTGGCCATTTCATTCGAGCATCATAGCGACATGTTCTTGTTAGATACTATTTTCAAATAAAACGTTTGTGCTATGCTTTACCAGTCCCTATTTGTATTGATTGAGAATAATATTTCAACAAAAAAAAACTGTCAGTCCCCTCTCCTCCTCTCAAACATAGTATTCTTATAACAAATAAAAGGAATTGTTGGAAAAAGAGATGATGATAGCTCATAACATCGACAGCTGAGCACTGACGTAATGGAATGATCAAAAACGTAAATTGAAAGTGCTAAGATACTGATTTTCATTAAAAAAAGAAATATTGAAATATTGTCCAATTTTGGTCTCTTGAATGAATACTCTGTGCGTGTGTCTACATGTATTCTCTATCTGCTATCGTGTCCCCGTCATCATCCTTTTCATATTATTTCGATGAAACAGAGCAAAGAGGGTCATCTGGCTTATTCCTCAGCTTTATAGAACTAATTGATTCTTAATGCAAATGTTTCTCTAATAAAAAGAAAAGTCAAAATGGTAATAACAGAAGGAATCTTTACACCAGAAGGCTAGTTAGTACAATGACAGACGGTCCGAAACCTTTATATTATGGAGCCCCCATTGGCTTTCATGCTTTCTCTATCTCTCTTTCTCTTCTATGGCGATTGTCGTAGTCGTATTTCGAACTAAAATCTTCCATTCAATTATTTTTTTTTGTGGGTCTGCATGAAGATGATGATGAACGGAGTCCGAGTCACAAGTGAATACGATCTTTGGAAGAAAATGAATTAATTGCCCCGTACTCTTCTTCTCATATTAATTATATGTCTTATTCATCTCATAAACTAATCTTATAAACAATTCTAATTATGAATAAAATACAAATTACAACGAGCTAACTAAGTCGACGACATGCCAGTCTGTCAGTTGCGAAAGAAGAGAGACAGAAGAAGAAGATGATATGACTGTTCTCTAATTCAGTCTTTTTTAAAATTCTGTAATTAATCATAATTAAGTAAAAAATTACAATTTGCATCCCTTTTCTTCCGAAATTCGATCCAACCGATAAAATACATCACTTACTCATGTAATTAGCTTGACTTATTGTGCAGTTGTCACCTCTTGGCCTACTTAATTCATTAAGAGGTTTTTGAATTCTAATAAAATTTTATTTATTCAAAGCAGAAAAGAATAATATTAGCATAATCTTATAAAAATAATATAATTATTTGGGATGTTGTTGTGTGAGTGTGTGTGTGTGTGTGTGTGTTCAACCGCGCAGCGCTTCCACACCATACTATGAATGAGAGTTGATGTGGATGAGCGCGCGCATGGGTCGTTCACGTGAATCTCACGTCAAATCCGAAGAATCCAAAAAACATTTCCGAAAATCGCAAAATCTTCTTTTTTACTTTCAGCAAGCTATTTATACGATTTCATTTTAATCGAAAGATAGCCCATCAGTTCTTTTTTGAACGTTCCGCAACTTACTTCCTCAGTCGGATTTTTTTCTATTGTACTTAACAATTCAATGAGCAAACACATTAAACCCGCTGTCAAAAAGGTGCTCAGTCTGATGAAAACTAAAAGCACCAGCACATTTAACTAAAAAAAAATTATGTACAAAAGAAAAAAATCCGTCGCATTTTAGTGGTGTTGTTAATGACGTCAGATTTTTTCGAATGTTTTTCGTTTCAAACAAATTCCACAAACACAGTCACGTACAAATCAATTAAAGAACATTTTGATTGTTTCACGCTTCACACAACTTGTATTTAAGATTAGAGAGAGAGAGAGAAGAGGTATGTGTATGAGTGTGTGTTTGTGCAAGTAAAGTCTTATTCCATATTTGGAAATGTTCATTGGAACTCATGTGTTGGAGCGAGTGTGGGCTTTACGTCAGAACAGGAAGATGTTACATCTCGATATCTTTATCATTTCGAGCAAAACTTTAGCCGTATATATATAAAAAACACATCTTTAGACATTTGAGACAAAGGTAAAATCATTAGCGAATGCATCTAAGAGCAAAGATAACAATATTAGTGATTGAAGTAGCACATAACAAGATCATTCGAACAAAGATTCACACAATAAGGGTAAAAGCCTAACGTTGGCTAACAGAACCAAACATTGGGATACCAGCATTAATTAGGAGAACGTTGAGTATGAAGGAAGTGAATATTCAGAAGAAAAAAAAACGGAAAAAATTGGTCAATTTTTGATTATTAAAACCCGTACAATATGTTAAACAATGTTAAATTCAAAGACATTAATATGAGAGGAAGTAGAAGACGAAAAAACATTCTTCAACTCCCAAGATCTTTGAAGAAAGGAATACAATTAAATTGCTGTCGTGAAGACAATAAATCGCAGATAATTATCAACAAACAACCTATTACAAACTTAACAGAACTTTCCGAAAAGCTTTCAAGCTCTGGAGCTGATCGTCAACTCATCTGTAGATGTTCCGTCCTGCTTGCTTAATTCATTCTCATCATTGAATGGGAGTTCTCCTTCCGTAATCCCATTCAAATCATCAACCACAGAACCACCTTCGAACAAACTTTTCAAGAATTTCAAGTTTAATTCTTTAACATTAACAATCTCTGGAGCTCCTATAACTTTAACCTTTCGATTAGAAAAAAGACGAGAGAGTACAAACCTGTTGTTTCTTCTATCTCTCCAGCGAGCTTATCCTCCTTGATCATAGCGGAGGCGCTATTCGTGTTTTGTCCACCTATGTTTCCAATCATCATGTGTTGGGATAATATGTTTTGAGCCATAATATCGGCCATAAGATTTCCACCAGGGAGATTATTAAGTTGTTGGCGTCCTAGGTTCGAGAGTGTGCCAGCTGGTAATCCGAGTTCCATTTCTTTTTGACGCTCAGAAATCCTCGATACCAACTTCATAGCCCAAGTAAGTTTTAACTTGACATGTCCACCATGTTCTTCCAACAATCCAGGAGCCTAAGTGATGCATGTTAACTATGTATTCGTTCGTAATACTTACTCTATCTAAGATATATTGCTTAGCGATGGAAAGGGCTTGAGAAGCAGTTAAATGTCCGCTTGGATCAGCTTGTTTCACAGAAACCATGTAATCAACTAAGTCAGCATCCAATTCATCTCCTATTAATTTAGGACGACCACGTCCTCTACCACGTAAAAAGCCAGGAGAGCCAGTGGAATGAGCTGCATTCATTTTCATCATTGCGGACATATCCATAACTCCATTAGGGAACATAGGCGAAGAAGGCACAGAAGTTGATACACTACTATTCTGTCTACTAGTGTTATGCTGCTGTGATTGAACTATTTGAGCACTCTGTCCATTACTTGAAGCAGTCTGAAGAGTTTATTGTTTGAACTGACATTTGAGTTTGTAACAAATACCTGTGATGGTTGGAGGACTGGCATATTGATGCTATTTTCGACTGTGTCTTCTCCCTCTGAAGATGGGCCAGGGGAAGTATTCGCTGTTCCGCTTAGGTTCTGGTTACTGTCTTTTCTCTGATAATAACTTGAGACTGGTGGCACTCCGTACCTATAAATTCACCACTTTGAAAGAACCATTTGATGATGTAAACGAACTTTTTGGCGAGTCCTGCATGTGTTTTGGCGTAATCAGCGACTAAACGTTTCTCTGCACTTCCAACTATTTTTCCGCCTCCATTCAACCCAGCATAATCTGAAGATAGAAGTTACTAAATCTGTTTTCATGACATCAAGTTTACTTTGGCCTATTTGTGTCATGCATTGCTGTTTCTGCTGGGCTGGGGCTTTACCCGCTAAGGTGGCAAGTGAATTTAACTGCTCTATGGTTGCATTGGGGAAGAGAGCTTTGAGTATGGGTGTGGGATCATCCTAAGAGAATACATTGAATTTCCAACTTCGAAACGTTTCAACTTACAACTGTCCTAGCGGTATTCGCTTGCACATGTCTAATAGCACAAATTTCACAAACACATGGAGCGACATGTAATGCTTTCATAATGCGCGTCATCTGAAAGTGAAAATTCCATCAATCCATTTAATTTAATAAAAAAGCCATTCAGTGAATTCATTATCCAGAAGCTTTAAAATATATTGTACAATATGTCTTAATTACTTTGTCCTCTATCCATCTGCCCTTGATACATTCAAAATAGGTTTATGCACAAAATAAAATGTTTCTAACTGTCTATCCCCATCCTTTGATGTGTGGCCTCGTCAACCTTATGATTATTTCAAATAATCTATATGCATATGTGAAACAACTGCTACAGTTACATATGACCACTGACCAAATCAACACAAGGGTTTTCTTTTCAAATCAAGGTCATTCATATGCAATTTCTGTCTTGTAAAATTCGAATAAAATTAATGTGTATCTCTTCTATGCATAAAAAACAAAATACAAAAGGTATTCCATCAATTATATTATTACTGTATCATTCAATAAGCACAGCGGAAGACAACCGTTTTCCTTCAAATAGGGTCACTCAACTCAATCACGTTGTCATCAGATGATGATGAACAACATATGACTGAACAGTAGTTAAAGAGCTTAACCTTTTGCGTTTTGCCTTTTCATACCAAAGTCTTTATAACAACACATTCAAAACGTTTTTTTTTCGAAATTTTCCGTCTCAGATTAAGAATCCAAGGGGAGACTTACAGTACATGCTGTCTTAACTTCACTTTCACCCATATTTCATTCGCATATTTACACTCGACTTTCAAATATTAAATAGAGGACAGAGATGGACCATCGACCGAGCAATATTCGTAAACATCTCGGCCACTGTAATAACATTGGATTAATAGCTATCAGATTTGAGATACGCTATATACGAAGAGCACTCTTATAATGACTATACTACCTTTCCACTTTATCCCTCCCATACCATTTGAACGCCAGCAAATGTATTACCTGATGACTCATGAAAATAAATCCTTTTTGCAGATCTTGAAGGTCTCGTTTCATAGAAACTTCTGTGGATTCTTCAATATCCATACCTGTGGACTCATCAGCGAGAGCTGCATTATCTTCTTCTAAATCCTGTAAGAATCAAATTGAAACTTGGAAATGTGTACTAATTCTATATCTTCATACTTCACTTCACATACATTAATTTACATTTATATAACCCCTCAACAGCAAAAGCGAAATTCATGCTACATTTCAAGAAGGTCATGTGAAAGGCAGCAATACATAAACATTCTTAAAACTTTCAAAAAACTTTATAAAAAGAACCAGGTAACAAAGGAGAAGCGGCAGTGTTACAGCTTTCACAGAATTCTCAAATGTTCTCTTGTGTATGTGATATAGATAGAAAGGCTCTATCAGTGTTCAGACTATATGAGATATGTTGCTCAGTGAGCTCTGAACGACCACAATAGCTCTCTCTCTGCCCATCTAGGTAACGCACACAAGAAATGAGAAAAGCAGCAGAACTTTTAAAATATAAATATCATACTTTGGTCTCATAATGTGAATAAGCAAAGCAAAGCTACGTACACAATATATATATTTATATATATATATATAAATATATATATATATATAT